AATCGGCACTTGAAAAATCGAAATTTTTCGAAATTCCCAAAAATTCGCATTAAGTAGCGATTCTTTCGAAAATGTTGCTCCGTGTCCATCAACATGCTATATTTTTGGAATCAGCACGTCGAGAGCTACGTCCCTGAATTTTTTCAGAATTTTTAGACAACTTTTGTAAAAGTGAAATTTTTCCAATGGTCCCCCCTTCTTCAAATTTCGGCCAAAATTTCACATTTTCGAAACCTAACTAAACACATTTTCTTGTAGATTTCGAGCTCTAGAACACGCCTCCGTTCTCGTTTCTTTGATAACTGCAACCGTTTTTCCAGAATCGGCACTTGAAAAATCGAAATTTTTCGAAATTCCCAGAAATTCGCATTTCGTAGCGATTCTTCCGAAAATGTTGCTCCGTGTCCACCAACATGCTATATTTTTGGAATCAGCATGTCGAGAGCTACGTCCCTGAATTTTTTCAGAATTTTTAGACAACTTTTGTAAAAGTGAAATTTTTTCAATGGTCCCCCCTTCTTCATATTTCGGCCAAAATTTCACATTTTCGAAACCTAACTAAACACATTTTCTTGTAGATTTCGAGCTCTAGAACACGCTTCCAGTCTCGTTTCTTTGATAACTGCAACCGTTTTTCCAGAATCGGCACTTGAAAAATCGAAATTTTTCAAAATTCCCAAAAAATCGCATTTCGTTGCCATTCTTTCGAAAATGTTGCTCGGTGTCCATCAACATGCTATATTTTTGGAATCAGCATGTCGAGATCTACGTCCCTGAATTTTTTCAGAATTTTTTGACAACTTTTGTAAAAGTGACATTTTTTCAATGGTCCCCCCTTCTTCAAATTTCGGCCAAAATTTCACATTTTCGAAACCTAACTCAACACATTTTCTTGTAGATTTCGAGCTCTAGAACACGCTTCCGGTCTCGTTTCTTTGATAACTGCAACCGTTTTTCCAGAATCGGCTCTTGAAAAATCGAAATTTTTCGAAATTCGCAAAAATTCGCATTTCGTAGCGATTCTTTCGAAAATGTTGCTCCGTGTCCATCAACATGCTATATTTTTGGAATCAGCATGTCGAGATCTACGTCCCTGAATTTTTTCAGAATTTTTAGACAACTTTTGTAAAAGTGAAATTTTTTCAATGGTCCCCCCTTCTTCAAATTTCGGCCAATATTTCACATTTTCGTAACCGAACTAAACACATTTTCTCGTAGATTTCGAGCTCTTGAACACGCTTCCGGTCTCGTTTCTTTGATAACTGCAACCGTTTTTCCAGAATCGGCACTTGAAAAATCGAAATTTTTCACAATTCCCAAAAATTCGGATTTCGTAGCGATTCTTTCGAAAATGTTGCTCCGTGTCCATCAACATGCTATATTTTTGGAATCAGCATGTCGAGATCTACGTCCCTGAATTTTTTTAGAATTTTTAGACAACTTTTGTAAAAGTGAAATTTTTTCAATGGTCCCCCCTTCTTCAAATTTCGGCCAAAATTTCACATTTTCGAAACCTAACAAAACACATTTTCTTGTAGATTTCGAGCTCTAGAACACGCTTCCGGTCTCGTTTCTTTGATAACTGCAACCGTTTTTCCAGAATCGGCACTTGAAAAATCGAAATTTTTCGAAATTCCCAAAAATTCGCATTAAGTAGCGATTCTTTCGAAAATGTTGCTCCGTGTCCATCAACATGCTATATTTTTGGAATCAGCACGTCGAGAGCTACGTCCCTGAATTTTTTCAGAATTTTTAGACAACTTTTGTAAAAGTGAAATTTTTCCAATGGTCCCCCCTTCTTCAAATTTCGGCCAAAATTTCACATTTTCGAAACCTAACTAAACACATTTTCTTGTAGATTTCGAGCTCTAGAACACGCCTCCGTTCTCGTTTCTTTGATAACTGCAACCGTTTTTCCAGAATCGGCACTTGAAAAATCGAAATTTTTCGAAATTCCCAGAAATTCGCATTTCGTAGCGATTCTTCCGAAAATGTTGCTCCGTGTCCACCAACATGCTATATTTTTGGAATCAGCATGTCGAGAGCTACGTCCCTGAATTTTTTCAGAATTTTTAGACAACTTTTGTAAAAGTGAAATTTTTTCAATGGTCCCCCCTTCTTCATATTTCGGCCAAAATTTCACATTTTCGAAACCTAACAAAACACATTTTCTTGTAGATTTCGAGCTCTAGAACACGCTTCCGGTCTCGTTTCTTTGATAACTGCAACCGTTTTTCCAGAATCGGCACTTGAAAAATCGAAATTTTTCGAAATTCCCAAAAATTCGCATTAAGTAGCGATTCTTTCGAAAATGTTGCTCCGTGTCCATCAACATGCTATATTTTTGGAATCAGCACGTCGAGAGCTACGTCCCTGAATTTTTTCAGAATTTTTAGACAACTTTTGTAAAAGTGAAATTTTTCCAATGGTCCCCCCTTCTTCAAATTTCGGCCAAAATTTCACATTTTCGAAACCTAACTAAACACATTTTCTTGTAGATTTCGAGCTCTAGAACACGCCTCCGTTCTCGTTTCTTTGATAACTGCAACCGTTTTTCCAGAATCGGCACTTGAAAAATCGAAATTTTTCGAAATTCCCAGAAATTCGCATTTCGTAGCGATTCTTCCGAAAATGTTGCTCCGTGTCCACCAACATGCTATATTTTTGGAATCAGCATGTCGAGAGCTACGTCCCTGAATTTTTTCAGAATTTTTAGACAACTTTTGTAAAAGTGAAATTTTTTCAATGGTCCCCCCTTCTTCATATTTCGGCCAAAATTTCACATTTTCGAAACCTAACTAAACACATTTTCTTGTAGATTTCGAGCTCTAGAACACGCTTCCGGTCTCGTTTCTTTTATAACTGCAACCGTTTTTCCAGAATCGGCACTTGAAAAATCGAAATTTTTCGAAATTCTCAAAAAATCGCATTTCGTAGCGATTCTTTCGAAAATGTTGCTCCGTGTCCATCAACATGCTATATTTTTGGAATCAGCATGTCGAGATCTACGTCCCTGAATTTTTTCAGAATTTTTAGACAACTTTTGTAAAATTGAAATTTTTGCAATGGTTCTTCAAATTTCGGCCAATTTTTGACATTTTCGAAACTTAACTGAATACATTTTCTTGTAGATTTCGAGCTGTGAAACTCACTTTCGGCCTCGTTGTTTGATAACTGCAACCGTTTTTCCAGAGTCGTCCGTTGAAATATCGAAATTTTTAGAAATCCTCAAAAATTTCCATTTCAAACCGATTCTATGGAAAATGTAGCTCCTTGACCATAAGTATTCTCTATTTTTGGAATCAGCATGTCGAGATCTACATCTCTGAATTTTTTCAGAATTTTTAGACAACTTTTTTAAAAGCGAAATTTCTCCAATTTCTGACGTTTTCGAAACTTGACTAAATACATTTTTTTTGTAGATTTCGAGCTCTAGAACACACTTCCGATCTTGTTTCTTTAATAACTGCACACGTTTTTACAGAATCGTCCGTTGAAACATCGAAATTTTTAGAAATTCTCAAAAATCCGGATTTCAAACTGATTCCATCGAAAATGTAGCTCCGTGACCATAAGTATTCTATATTTTTGGAATTAGCATGTCGAGATCTACGACCCTGAATTTTTTCAGAATTTTTAGACTACTTTTTTTAAAAGCGAAATTTTTTCAATGGTTCCCCCCTTCTTCAAATTTCGGCCAATTTTTGCCATTTTAGAAACTTAACTAAATACATTTTCTTGTAGATTTCGACCTCCAGAACTCACTTTCGGCATCGATTCTTTGATAACTGCAACCGTTTTTCCAGAATCGTCCGTTGAAATGTCGAAATTATTAGAAATTTAAAAAAAATCGCATTTCAAACCGATTCTATCGAGAATGTAGCTCCGTGACTATAAGTATTTCAAGCAATTAAAAACATGCTTTTCAGTATCGGATTATTGAAAGAATACTACGTATATAAAGAAAAAAAGACAAAATATAAACCCCGCCCACCCACCCTATCTCAATTTTGATGATTTTTTATTATTAGAAACTTAAAACATTTTTAAAACGGTAAACTTTTGTAGGAAAAGATGGATTTTGCAATTAAGCTCCGCCCCTCAGCTTACAATGAATAAAATAAATCATCAGAATTGAGATAGGGTGGGTGGGCGGGGCTTATATTTTGCCTTTTTTTTTAGTATACATTGCCATCTTTTCACAACAAGAAACTTAAAACACGGTTAAAATGCAAAGAAAGGAAATATGGATTTTGCAATTATGGGGTTGAGCCTAATCGATATTTCCTTATACAAATTTTCCATTTTAAACATGTTTAAGTTGCATGTTATGAAAAAAAGTCTACACAATATTAAAACAAAAAGTCAAAATATCAGCCCGCCCACCCGCCCTGTCTCTATTGTGATGATTTTTTTTTATTCATCGTTAACCAAACGGGCGGAACTTAACTGCAAAATACTTATTTCGTTATTAAACCCCGCCCACCCACCCCACCTCAATTATGATGATTTTTTTTATTCTGAGAAACTTAAAATACGTTTAAAATTGTAAATTTTTATAAGAAAATATCGATTTTGCAGTTAAGCTCCGTCCTCTTAACTCACAACGAATAAAAAAAATCATCAGAATTGAGATAGGGTGGGTGGGCGGGGCTTATATTTTGCCCTTTTTTTAAAATATACATAGCCATCTTTTCACAACAAGAAACTTAAAACATGGTTAAAATGGGACACTTTCGGCCTCGATTGTTTGATAAGTGCAACTGTTTTTCCAGAATCGTCCGTCGAAATATCGAAATTTTTAGAAATTTTCAAAAATTCGCATTTCAAACCGATCATATCGAAAATGTTGCCTCGTGACCATAAATATTCTAAAATTTGATAAAAAGTGTATTTGGCGGAATTACATTGCCATAGTGAAAATCCAACATTTAATTTATGAAAATTTTATTTCAGATTAGTAACAAAAATAAATAAAACATACAAATTAACACCGTGGAATTTTAATCGCCTCTCTAAACCGTGCCTTCGTTCGAACCACTCTCCACATCAATAGACCTAGCGTACGGATACTGCCCAGACGTGCCCCATCCCCCCAAAGTATTAGTCCCAAAATTGGTCCCAAAATTAGTACCATAAGTAGTGGGCACTCCGTACGTCGGCGGAATGTTGTACGTCCCCCCGTAGGAAAAAAGCTAAAAACCATCGTCAGTGGACTGTAAACAAGCGCATAAAACATCTTACGCCTCTCCCGTTAGAAAACATTTGAATAAAAAGTAGAGCAGAGATGATGAACGCCAATTTTCCAACGATCAGCGCTTTGGTCGTTAAGAACAAAAGACCGCCAAACATTAAGGGCACCATGGACATCATCCGCGTCCCGAATCCCAGAAGCAGCGATCCCATCATTTTCTTCATTTTAGCGCGGCCTTCTTCAAACGTCCGGGCGACATTCTTGGACGAAATATTCAAAGGAAGGTCGACTTTTAAAGTTCGTCCGGAAATGAAACGAGCGGACGCTGAATACAGAGCGTCCAGAAGTTTAGTTTTGTCGGTGAGGTTTTGCGGTAGTTCGAAGTTTAGTTGTTTGGCGGATCGCTGCACCGAGTCGCTGAAATTTTAATAACAATTATATTATACAAGTTTTCCGGGTTTCTAGTCGTCGTACCGTTTCAAAACAACTCCGGGTAGCAAAACAATGTCTCGCTGTCGTGCTTGATCAAGAGCTTTGAGCGACCGGATCGATACGCAGTTGATAAATTCGTCGATATTGGTACCAAGAGTGCACTTTTCCCGAAATTGTGGTACCGCGTTCACGCAGAGGGTGCATAGTAACAAACACTTAACAATTAAGGTGTACATTTTGCCGTGTTTTCACGCACTTGACTAGTCAATTTTGTCACCCAGTACCAATTTATACGAAAAAGGGTCCCCTCTAAAGGTTTAAAACAAATATATTCAAACCAAGCAGGAAACAGTTTTTGTGTTAAGCAATTGTTAACTTTGGCCCATCCTTGATGACTTGACCCGAAATGACAATTTCTGGGGATATGTAGGCCGGAAGTAGCGTTTCTTTGAATTTAGAGAAACGTGAAAATTTAAATATGGAATAAAAGTCGTCATCTCACTCAGGATTTATTTTCTAGTCAATAAATAAATATAAACAAAATATACTTTTTATAAAAATTATCACAAATTCTACAGCTTTGTTCATGCTTTGAATTTAAAACCCGGCGACGTTCCGTACGAAAACTTCGATTTTGAAGTGAGCGGAAGTTCGTGCTCTAGAAAATCGTCCACATCGGCGATTTCTTTCATATCGACGTCGCTAATATCTAAATTAATTTCTTTATAGTTGCGATAAAACGGGTGCACTTTGGCTGCAGACCTAAAAAAGGGAAAAAATGTAAAAATTAAATAATCAATAAATAATTGAAGTACCTTTGTAAAACGTACGGATCAAACGGATAAAACGCTTCTAAAACGTTATTAGATATAGAAATATAGCCCTTGTCGTCCCTATACACCGTAGGCATACTATTTCGTGAGTTATGTTCAATCACAGAATAACAATAGGCTAATTGATACTTTCGAGTTATAGCTGCGAAATTTTGAACAACCGCAGGCTGACACACCCGCAACGGATTTAACCTACTAGTGACTATTTTCGATAAATTTAGACTCTCCAGAAAGACAACATCTGCAAAAAAAACATCACCAAACACGAAAAAATCCAAAATCGGCATACTTTTTTTTGTATTAACTAAGTCCTTGTGCCTGAATGCAACAACATAAAACAACGCTTGACAAACTGTGTAAAAAACTACATGTATTCTTAGGTCCGAATTTACACATTCAAGACCATCTTGCGTCGCAATGTACGCATGAATCCAGTCCGCCATCTGTTGCAACGTACCTTTCAACATCCTAAAACCCAAAATTACAACCACCTTTCCACACTAAAAAATTCCAGACTTACGACAACGGGATAAACGTCGCTCGTGCCATAAAACTAACAACATAATTGACCGCTGCCTGTCGCAAAACCGACGGTACGTTCGGATTGCACACTTTCTTCCAAAGAAAATTGAAAAATCCTTCAACTAGGGTGGTTTTAAAGGAACACAAAACAAACATGACGAACTGAACGTGGTGAGTATTGTAAGTGGGTAAAATGACTTTATCAAACGTGGTTAGTAAATCGTGATAGAGGAGCTTGGTTTTTGACCAATTTAGTCGCGTGGTACCGGCTTCATGGCACTCTGAGTAGACGTAGTTGAACATTTTGTCCAGACAAACGTCAAGAGTGTGCGCTATGGAGTCCAGGTTTAACGTAGCGCTGGATTTGGCGTCGTCTTCCATCATGAAAATGTCGTCATCATCCTGAAGTTTGGTGATTTCTTCACGGGGGGCGTTGACATCCATTACTATTAACCTATTCAAAAAAAAAATATATATATTAAGCAATAAAAACGACTGAATAATTTACTTTGAAAAGATTAAATGTAGTATGTCTGGACGCAAATTTGGCTGGTAGTAAAGGACCCATAGAACATTCTGGATGAAGTATTCATGAACATGGGTGCCTTTATTCATGTAAGGAAACTGGTCTACAAGAGCTTGCATTAGTAAGTCTTTACACCTGGAAATAACAATTTAAGAAAACGAATTAACTAATTAAAGTGACTTTCTTACAAAGGTGCCACCCGTAGCAATTCTATTATCAGTGCATGGACGTTCTGACACTTCTTATAGTCCACTTTACTTGGACTTCCATTCTCCCACTCCGGGTCAGTAGAAGCTACAACTTACACTAAGTTTTCTCTCACACTTTTTTCCAAACACTCACCAGGTATAAACAAAGACACCAATTTATTTATAACACACTCCGCGTGATAATTATGGGCTGAAATCAGATTAGCAATAAACAACTGATACTCTTTGACCACACTTTTGTTCCGATCAACCCAATTTATCAAAAGAATCGCCTCCACAAATAACCTCAAATCCTCTTTCATGATTGAAATACACTCAGTGGCTTCTTTAAGTAGCGACGAAATATCCTCATCCAGGAGTTCCGCGTCTCGGATTAAACACACCAAATTTTCGTACTCTTTAGCGTTACTTTTGTCAATGTAATCCCGTAGGATACTCTGGACTTTCTTGGCATGGGGTAACGTGAAACGAACTTTACTAGGGGTGGTGTTTTTAAGGGAACGGTTTAACGTGCTTTTGATGCTGGGGGTCTTCTTGAGAATCGAAGACGGGGTTGACTTTGTGGGGGCCGAAAACAGCGACATTCTGGAAACCTGGAAGGTAAATGTGAAAGTGGTTACGCAAAAAGGTGCAAAGTTACGTACTTGATTAAAATTTGGTTCCTTGTAGTAACCAGAACGTTGTAACTGGAAGTTACGGCGTAATTCTTGTTTTATTTGTTGTTTTGGGTGAATTAAACATGTTCCGACTTGTGGGTTGAGGTTAGACAAAAACGTGGACTGGTGACAGATCTAGGGGAATCGTGGATACCACTACCAGTTTTATGTTGGTATTGCTGCTATTACGTAATTGAAGATGATAAATAATTCGTACAAATACTTTAATTTGGAGTCTTATTTCACAAATTTTGCTCATTTATAGACGTTTTAATTCAGTTTCAATTGTTTTTGTTTTAAATATTTGTTTTTCTGATTCTGAAGTGTGTTGAAGTTATATGTCATGTGACGTATGCATAGGTGAAATATTGGTTGCATATCTACTCGAAAAATTTATTTAAATTATTATTAACAAATTTTAGTATTTTTAACTCCCATCGTAATCAGGTACGTTTTTTTCGTCCACATTCCTGTACTGCCACTCCGCCGCACCCCAGCCCTTCAACCCATTAACTTCAAAAGTACACAGTCTTTCAACAACTTTGCTCTCCCAGTCCTTACTAATATAAAAATGGGGAGAATAGAGAACGTTGACTTGTATCCTGTATATTTTGCCACCTAAAAAATCTACTAGTACAGATGGCTCTAGTTTTAGTCAACTCTAACCTGCCGAAAAACTGAACGAATAATTTAAAGGGGGATTTCCGTCTTCTCCGTGTTGATAAAGCTCAAGATCGCACCACTTCACCGGATACATTTTTTTATCTTTAGCTGAATAAACATACCCGATCGTTAATCTAAAAAAAACATTTTGATTCACAGTTGACTATGATCAATACTTACCGCGAAAACGAAATCGGAAGACAAATCTTGCCAACATTGAACCTATCTCCATTTTCAGCGGCGAAAAAATGCAGCCCGTATCGGTGAAAATTTCGCCACTCTCTTTGGAAACCGAAACTATGGTCTCTGACGGCGTTGATGTCGACGTTGTACTTTTTCCCGTTGATGGTCACAACGCCCGTGACGTCACCGTGTTGCTCGTAATGGGTCTGGTGGTTTCTACAAAATCACACTGCGATTAAATTCAGACAAACTGTCACATTTACGCTTTCAAGTTTTCGAAATATTCTCGGCTGAATTTTTCGTAGGACATGGATTTGGCCATAGCCCAGGCGTCCATGTCCGAGTCGAAATTGAAGTGTGGCGACACTGCATTCCACTCCAATTCTATTTTTACGTTGATGATTTCGTTGCGGTTTTTGTGTCTTTTCATTTTTCCGTCGTAGAGGATTTGCCATTTTTTCATGGGGGCTTCGGGAGTTAGGGCGATGCCTTCAGCTTCGTATTTTTCGAGGTCTTGGGGTTGGTATAGCGCGGTGCCGGGGAGTTTTGGGGTTTCTAGGAGTCCGAGGCCCGAGTCTTTGATGAGGAGGTACAAAAAGCCGTCTACGAGTTGGTTTTTTCGACGGGCGGTGCCCACGACTAAGTAGTCGCCGGTTTTGCTGGCGCCGTTGAAGTAGACGGCGTCGATGGCCTAGTACATAGTACTTATATTCAAGTGCAAGTGAAAAAAAAAATAGAGGACGTGTTTTAATTTTTTATGTTAAGTCAGAGGTACCAACTGAGATAAAATACAGGCAACTCTAACTCATTTTTTTTTCAACTGCATGGTTCAAAGTACTCACGATACCTTAGGTTGTGATGACAATTTTTGTGGTCTCTCAAGATCCGCCAACGTTCTACTTTCCTTGTGCTTTTTAAGAATGCGCTTTGTTTTGAAAACTATCTAAAATAAAAATATTAAATAAATAGTTGGTTTAAAATTGTGAAAACGAACCTTTTGAGCTGTCAAAATCACGAAAATGAAGACGCACTTTAACCAGAAAAATCCATTGGGGCGCTGATATATGTTTAAAATGGGGGGAGGGTTTTTGTTTGCTAATCTAAATGTGATTATAATTAATATTGATAGAAAAATTACACAGGCTTCCACTAAGTACGCCATAACTACGCTACACAATGCACAATATAAAACTATTTCGGAGCCATCACGGTTATGAATTAGGTAATTCAAGTAGCAAAAGTGATAAGATAAATGGTGTCAATTATTCAATGTACAGATATGATAAAGTGTTGTTTTAAATTAACGTTGGAATTTTGGTAAATCTCGAGATATAGGTTTTAATATTTTTTAAATATACCGGGTGTCTGGAAAATAGCGGGTTAACTCTACAGTACGTTAAAAAAATTATAAAAGTAAAATTGCAAATGAGATCTCTCTAAGAAAATAGAGGGCGGGTGAGTGGGGAAAATATCTGCTAAAATCAGTTTTATCTTAGCAGCTACTAGCCCCAACCACCCACCCACCCTCCTTTTTCTTATGAGGTATTGTGAAAAACATTAACAGCGGCGCGAAATCGCATTTGAATAATTTGAATTTAAAAAAAATTCAATCAAGAAAATTGTTAAACGTAGGCAACCATGTGCACGTTTGGTTCTTTCTGGTAGTGGGTAGTTCTGCTAGAGAATTTTAGTTAGAGGGTTGGTAGTGAGAGGTTGATAGAAGATGCTCGCTTTGTAGAGGGAGGTGAGACACGTCACTTTTGGTTCGTTTGTTTGTGTGCAGCATACGGTAAGGAAGCTAGGTTAAGTTTAGTTGATTTGGTAGTTAATAAAAGAGAGGAAGCCTTTGTTTAACGACAGTTAATCGACCCACAGTTTTCCCTAACACGCGTTTTTATTTCTTGCGGTTTTTCCAACCGAAAATAAAAAAAATCACAGTTCGTGTGAGGATTTTAATCGTTAACTGGGTCTAATACAATTTAACAGTCAGGAGATTATTCAGATACAGTACTTACATTACAACACTTTTTAATTCCTCACACAAGATGGCTAATAGTTTATTAACGGCAGTTAAATTAACCTAATGTTGTCCCACTCTGGGAAAAGGCTGTAGAAAGTACGGTAGAATTCATAATATCGTCAACTGAGGTATAGGTTTAGTTCCTTTAGACAGTTATTCACATCACCGAGTTATTTTTCTCGTACGTGGAAAGCTATATCATCGAGACATATTTTATGGAACAAATTAACAACATTGTGGATGCATTTTATTCCTTTGAGTTAGACCATTATTTGCATAACGCCACAGGATTGATCGCATTTTTGGGAGACATACTTTTGACGCATATTTATTTAGAACGACACATTCGTCCGACGCCATTTTGGAGCTCTAGATTGTCTGACATCTACTATATTATTGATTAATGCTTCCATCGTATAAATTGTCTGATGTCCAATCTTAATTTCAGATATGAATTCTTTACTGTTTAAAAATTTCATGAGAGTGTATGGCGAATTCAAATGTTTATTGCTCTTTTGAAACTTTAACACTTGTTCAATTGCAGTTTAGTATCAGAGGTATATAATAGAAATTGAACATTTAAATGGAATTGAGGTAAATAACACACTAACACGTGGCGGAAGCGGAGTGCCCGGTTCCTTGTCGAGCTGTCAGATTTAGAATAGAAGTCAGGGGAACGGTCGGTCGTGATTTCCAACCACGAGTTTGCGACTGTAACGGCCTGTTAGCGCAGCACGTGCTTGCCGATAGGATAGAATGGAATCGTCGTCGTGGGTAGGAGAACAGCCACGACCAGGAGCCCCAAACTCCGTTCTCTTTTCGACTGCCATTGGTTTTTATTAAATTTATAATATTCAAATATTTACATTGATTCAAAACGTTTAATTTGATTTCTTTCAAAGTTTAGAAAGTTTTTTTTGTAGCACTAAGAAGGTCTTCAACCTAGGGCTTCATTTTGTCAGATGATCACAGCCAAGACCAAATTTTTGAATTTTTCGCGGGGTTTTCACCTTTTCACATGTCAATTTAAGGCGGGATGTTTGGGTTATCACCAACGCGCGGAATTGTGTTTCATACGCTAGATCCAGTGCTGTCGCGGCGATAGTTTGATTACAAATATATTTTTCTTTTGGACTATATCAACATAATATAACATTTCAAGATCACAAATCTGTGGTCCTGTGTATGAAAAATTAAAAAGGGCATCGAGTATTTTTATTTGAAGTAATATAGTAATATAGAAGTAGTTTTTTAACAAGCCGTAAACACTCCTAGCGAACTCTTAGCGACGCACTGGCTACGACCTTGTGGACCAGATCAAAGCGTCCCCACTACTCGCCGTAAAACACACCTTGCTTCAACTGGGGAATTGCATCCGTAAGATACTTTTCCGCCCAATGGTTATCACAGTATCTCATCTGTCAAAATCATTCTTGTCTTAACAGGTACTAGCCCCACCCACCCACCCTCTGTTTTCTTAGAGAGTATCTCATCTGCCAAAATTACTCTTATCTTAACAGATACTAGCCCCACCCACCCACCCACCCTCTCTTTTCTTTGTGGGTATCTCATTTGCCAAAATTACTCTTATCTTAACAGCTACTAGCTCCGCCCATCCACCCTCTCTTTTTTTATAAAAACGCAATAAAATCTTCAACGTCAAAATTGGCCTGTTTGCTTAAATGGATGAAAAACAGGCAATAAAAGCTTAAATAAATGAAAAAAAGAAAATGTGGGATGAAACGTTTGCCAAAATCAGTCTTATCTGAGCAAGTGCTAGCCCCGCCCACCCGCCCCTGTTTTCTCAGGGGATATGTCATCTGCCAAAATCAGCTTTATGTTAGCAGCTACTAGATAGGATAAGACTGATTTTGGCAAATGACATGCCCGCTAAGAAAAAAGAGGGTGGGTGGGCGAGGCTAGTACTTGTTAGGATAAAACTGATTTTGGCAAATGAAATCCCTCTAAGAAAATATAGGGCGGGTGGGCGGGGTTAGTACCTACTAGTCTAAGATCGATTTTGGTAAATGACATATCCTTTAAGAAAAGGATGTTTGTTTAGTTTCTCGAATTTTCAAATTTTAGATTTTTCGATTTTTTTTAATTGATCAATTTTTAATTTTTTAAATTTGAGCAACTTTGATTTCTCCATTTTCGACTTCCCGACTTTTCAACTTCTGGATATCTCGATCTTTACGTATTTAGATTTCTCGATGTTTCAATTTTTGTATTCTTCTATTTTTCGATTTTCCCATTTTTCAGTTTTTCGATTTCTCGATTTTTTGTCATTTCAACTTTGGGATATTTCGATTTATGAATTTTTAGATATTTTATTTTTTCGATTTCTCAGTTTCTTACTACAGTAATTATAGTTTGCCGTTTCTTTTTAATACACTTGGTCTTATTTTACCACAAGAGGCGTAAAACATTCAAAATGGTATATTTTTGTATGGAAATCGAGATTTTGCAGTTACGCCCCGCCCCTTGGTCAAACAACGAATGAAAAATTCATCACAATTGAGCTAGGGTGGGTGGGCGGGGCTTATTCTTTGCCCTTTTTTCTCAATACACGTAGTCTTCTTTTAACACCAAGAAACTTACGGCGTGTACAAAATGACAAATTTCTGTGGAGAAATATGAATTTTGTAATTGGCGCTCCGCCCCTCGGTCTGACAGCAAATGAAAAATTCGTCATAATTGATGAAAGGACGGGTGGGTCGTGCTTAATCTTTATTTATTTATTTTTTTCTTTAGATATAGAGTTTTCTTTCAAAAACACGATAGTTAAAAAGTATTGGTACCGCCCACCCACCCTAAGATAAGACTGATTTTAGCAAATGACGTATCCTGTAAAAAATTTAATTAAGTTATTATAAGAAAAGACACTTTCAAATTCTTTTTAAATTGTTTTAAATTTTTCAAAAGACAAAAAATTGATCTTCTCAAATTAACTCAAAAACAATTTCAAAAATAGAACACGAAAGTCCCCCAAAATTGTTTTAAATAATCTACAAAAAAATCTTCATAAAACACTAAAAGCTCGAAAGATTTTTTCAAGTTCATCCAGTAACAAAACATCAGATTACCTTAAATTTATTCGAAAATAATACACCAAGGGTTGAAAACTTTGACAATTTTGGCGAATTTTTTCTAATGCGAAACGTGGAATAAAACAAATTATTTCATTCTAGTTAATAAATTTATTGTACAATATTATCAGTAACTTGATCATAAACGAACATCTGCAACTTTATGCAATAAATATGAAAAGTGGAAATAATACAATAACACGTGACGGAAGCGGAGTGCGCAGTTCCTTGTCGAGCTGTCAAATTTAGACGTAACGGCTTGTTAGCGCGGCATGTTTCTTCGTTAGATAGAGGGGTGCTGGGCGGCATGTGCTTGCCGACAGGATACCGTAGTGGGTAGGAGAACAGCCACGACCAGGAGCCCCAAACTCCGTTCTCTTTTCGACTGCCATTGGTTTTTGTTAAATTTGTGATATTCAGATATTTGCATTGATTCAAAACGTTTGATTTGATTTCATTCAAAGTTTGGAAAGTTTTTTTTTGTAGCTGAGCACTAAGAAAGTCTTCAACCTGCGCAACTTAGAGGTTTAAATAATTGTGTGTCCCCCATATATTTTGTATTTTATTTAGCGGTACTTTTCCAACCTTGGGGTCCACCACTTCCATCTACGCATTCCGACACACAAAAAAAAACAAACAGGGCATAGGGTTCCATTTTGTCAGATGATCACAGCCAAGGCCAATTTTTGAATTTTTCGCGGGGTTTTCACCTTTTCACATGTCAATTTAAGGCGGGATGTTTGGGTTATCACAGTATCTCATCTGCCAAAATCATTCTTATCTTAACAGGTACTAGCCCCGCCCACCCACCCTCTCTTTTCTTTGAGGGTATTTCATCTGCCGAAATTACTCTTGTCTTAGCAGGTACTAGCCCCGCCCACCCACCCGCCCTTTTTTTCTAAAAAATACGATAAAGTACCTTAAAATAGATGAAAAACAGGCAATAAAAGCTTAAATAAATGAAAAAAGAAAATGTGGGATGAAACGTTTGCCAAAATCAGTCTTATCTGAGCAAGTGCTAGCCCCGCCCACCCGCCCCTGTTTTCACATGGGATATGTCATCTGCCAAAATCAGCTTTATGTTAGCAGCTACTAGATAGGATAAGACTGATTTTGGCAAATGACAAACCTGCTAAGAAAAAAGAGGGTGGGTGGGCGGGGCTAGTACTTGTTAGGATAAAACTGAATTTGGCAATTGAGATCCTCTAAGAAAATAGAGGGCGGGTGGGCGGGTTTAGTACCTACTACCTACTAATTTAAGATCGATTTTGGTAAATGACATATCCTTTAAGAAAAGGATGTTTGCTTAATTTCTTGAATTTTCAAATTTTAGATTTTTCGATTTTTTTAATCGATAGATTTTTTTAATTTTTCGATTTTGGGCAACTTTGATTTCTCCATTTTTCGACTTCCCGACTTTTCAACTTCTGGATATCTCGATCTTTACGTATTTAGATTTCTCGATGTTTCAATTTTTGTATTCTTCCATTTTTCGACTTTCAATTTTCCCATTTTTCAGTTTTTCGATTTCTCGATTTTTTGCCATTTCAACTTTGGGATTTTTCAATTTTTCGATTCATTAATTTTTAGATATTTTATTTTTTCGATTTCTCAGTTTCTTACTACAGTAATTATATTTTGCCGTTTCTTTTTAATACACTTAGTCTTATTTTACCACAAGAGGCGTAAAACATTCAAAATGGTATATTTTTGTAGGGAAATAGAGATTTTGCAGTTGCGCCCCGCCCCTTGGTCAAACAACGAATGGAAAATTCATCACAATTGAGCTAGGGTGGGTGGGCGGGGCTTATACTTTGCCCTTTTTTCTCAATACACGTAGTCTTCTTGTAACAACAAGAAACTTAAGGCGTGTACAAAATGACAAATTTCTGTGGGAAAACATGAATTTTGTAATTGGCGCTCCGTCCCTCGGTCTGCCAGCAAATGAAAAATTCGTCATAATTGATGACGGGACGGGTGGGTCGTGCTTAATCTTTATTTATTTTTTTTTTTCTTAAGATATAGAGTTTTCTTTCAAAAACCCGATAGTTAAAAAGTATTGGTCCCGCCCATCCACCCTGAGATAAGACTGATTTTGGCTAATGAGATTCCTCTAAGAAAATAGAAGGCGGGAGGGTGGGGCCAGTACGTTCTAAGATAAGACTGATTTTAGCAAATGACGTATCCTGTAAAAAATTTAATCAAGTTATTATAAGATGACACTTTCAAATTCTTTTTAAATTGTTTTAAATTTTTCAAAAGAAAAAAATTTGATCTTCTCAAATTAACTCAAAAACAAATTCAAAAGTAGAACATCAAAGTCCCCCAAAATTGTTTTAAATAACCTAGAAAAAAATCTCCAAAAAACACTAAAAGCTCGTAGGATTTTTTCAAGTTCATCCAGCAACAAAACATCAGATTACTTTAAATTTATCCGAAAATAATACACCAGGGGTTGAAAACTTTGACAATTTTGGCGAATTTTTTCTAATGCGAAACGTGGAATAAAACAATTTATTTCATTCTAGTTAATAAATTTATTGTACAATATTATCAGTAACTTGATCATAAACGAACATCTGCAACTTTATACAATAAATATGAAAAGTGGAAATAATACAATAACACGTGACGGAAGCGGAGTGCGCAGTTCCTTGTCGAGCTGTCAAATTTAGACGTAACGGCTTGTTAGCGCGGCATGTTTCTTCGTTAGATAGAGGGGTGCTGGGCGGCATGTGCTTGCCGACAGGATACCGTCGTGGGTAGGAGAACAGCCACGACCAGGAGCCCCAAACTCCGTTCTCTTTTCGACTGCCATTGGTTTTTATTAAATTTGTGATATTCAGATATTTGCATTGATTCAAAACGTTTAATTTAATTTAATTCAAAGTTTGGAAAGTTTTTTTTTTGTAGCTGAGCACTAAGAGAGTCTTCAACTTACGCAACTTAGAGGTATAAATAATTGTGTGTCCCCCATATATTTTGTATTTTATTTAGCGGTACTTTTCCAACCTTGGGGTCCACCACTTCCATCTACGCATTCCGACACACAAAAAAAAACAAACAGGACGTAGGGTTTAACTTTGTCAGATCACTGCAGCCAAGGCCAAATTTTTGAATTTTTCGCGGGGTTTTCACCTTTCCACATGTCAATTTAAGGCGGGATGTTTGGGTTATCACAGTATCTCATCTGCCAAAATCATTCTTGTCTTAACAGGTACTAGCCCCGCCCACCCACCCTCACTTCGCTTGGAGGGTATCTCATCTGCCAAAATTACTCTTATCTTAGCAAGTCCTAGCCCCGCCCACCCACCCTCTCTTTTCTTAGAGGGTATCTCATCTGCCAAAATCAGTCTTATCTTGACAGCTACTAGCCCCGCCCATCCACCCTCTCTTTTTTTTATAAAAAAGCAATAAAGTCTTCAACGTCAAAATTGGCCTGTTTGTTTAAAACACGATAAAGTACCTTAAAATAAATGAAAAACAGGTAATAAAAGCTTAAATAAATGAAAAAAGAAAATGTGGGATGAAACGTTTGCCAAAATCAGTCTTATCTGAGCAAGTGCTAGCCCCGCCCACCCACCCCCGTTTTCTTAGGGGATATGTCATCTGCCAAAATCAGCTTGATGTTAGCAGCTACTAGATAGGATAAGACTGATTTTGGCAAATGACATACCCGCTAAGAAAAAAGAGGGTGGGTGGGTGGGCGGGGCTAGTACTTATTAGGATAAAACTGAATTTGGCAAATGAGATCCTCTAAGACAATAGAGGGCGGGTGGGCGGGGTTAGTACCTACTACCTACTAATCTAAGATCGATTTTGGTAAATGACATATCCTTTAAGAAAAGGATGTTTGTTTAATTTCTCGAATTTTCAAATTTTAGATTTTTTGATTTTTTAATTGATCAATTTTTAATTTTTCGATTTTGGGCAACTTTGATTTCTCCATTTTTCGACTTCCCGACTTTTCAACTTCTGGATATCTCGATCTTTACGTATTTCGATTTTCCCATTTTTCAGTTTTTCGATTTCTCGATTTTTTGCCATTTCAACTTTGGGATTTTTCAATTTTTCGATTCATCAATTTTTAGATATTTTATTTTTTCGATTTCTCAGTTTCTTACTACAGTAATTATATTTTGCCGTTTCTTTTTAATACACTTGGTCTTATTTTACCACAAGAGGCGTAAAACATTCAAAATGGTATATTTTTGTCGGGAAATAGAGATTTTGCAGTTACGCCCCCCCCTTGGTCAAACAACGAATGAAAAATTCATGACAATTGAGCTAGGGTGGGTGGGCGGGGCTTATACTTTGCCCTTTTTTCTCAATACACGTAGTCTTCTTTTAACAACAAGAAACTTAAGGCGTGTACAAAATGACAAATTTCTGTGGGGAAATATGAATTTTGTAATTGGCGCTCCGCCCCTCGGTCTGACAGCAAATGAAAAATTCGTCATAATTGATGACGGGACGGGTGGGTCGTACGTAATCTTTATTTTATTTCTTAAGATAGAGAGTTTTCTTTCAAAAACACGATAGTTAAAAAGCATTGGTACCGCCCACCCACCCTAAGATAAGATTGATTTTAGCAAATGACGTATCCTGTAAAAAATTTATTATAAGAAAAGTCACTTTCAAATTCTTTTTAAACTGTTTTAAATTTTTCAAAAGAAAAAAATTTGATCTTCTCAAATTAACCCAAAAACAATTTGAAAAATAGAACATCAAAGTCCCCCAAAATTGTTTTAAATAATCTAGAAAAAAATCTCCACAAAACACTAAAAGCTCGAAAGATTTTTTCAAGTTCATCCCGCAACAAAACGTCAGATTACTTTAAATTTATCCGAAAATAATACACCAGGGGTTGAAAACGTTGACAATTTTGGCGAATTTTTTCTAATGCGAAACGTGGAATAAAACAATTTATTTCATTCTAGTTAATAAATTTATTGTACAATATTATCAGTAACTTGATCATAAACGAACATCTGCAACTTTATACAATAAATATGAAAAGTGGAAATCTATGTTGGTCCTAACAATTGAAAATACATACATCACCATTCCTCACCTAGACGCATTAAATAAATAATTCCATAGACACTTGAAAGGGCAACAATAAACAAAAACAATGAACGTCATCATCATATACATAAAAATATACACATTATCCATAGTTAAGTATAAGCAATATTGTACTAAAAAAGGCTTCATCATCCAACATTAATACTGTGTATAAGAAGTAATATCTAATATTAATATACAAAAGATCACAACCTATTCAAGAAAAATAAAAATAAAGAAAAAAAAAATCGCCAAATAAAACTATTGTATTTCTGCGAGTAGTATATGGGCTTTAAAAAACTTACAAAAAGTATTAAAAAAAGTTACACAATAATAAAATCAATACACTATAGTGGTTACACGATTAGGGCAGTCCGTAAGCACCTAAAACGAAAGTTCGTCTCACAACTGCACACTCGAAGAACTCGTGCTCTCATCCTCGGAATTGCTCTCGGAGATCATCGCCTCCCCCGCCAAGTGCTTGGGACTCGGCAGCGCCTGCGCCCCGTTCTTCCTCCCCATCTCGCTGGGCAGCGCCGGCAGCTTCAAGTCGTCCTCGTCCAAATCCAAGTCCAAATCGTCGTCCTGCCGCTTCGGCGTGCTCGTCACCCACGCGCTCTCCCCGTCGAACTCGCCGTTGCGACTCCTCGAGGAGTTCGACGGCAGGATGGCGCTCGCCGACGCGCTCAGACTCAGCGGGAACTTCATGCGCGGCCTCTTGTTGGACGGCGACTTCGTGGGGGTGGTCTTGGGGGGCGTGGAGTTGCGGAAGCTGCGGCGGACGATGCGCGACGCCACCACGTCGGGGCTCTCGTCCAAGTCCAGCACGTAGCTCACGGAGTCCGACTTCTCCACCACGCCCTTGACCTTCGGCGACGACGGCGGGGACAGGTCGGACTTCCAGGACCGGTCGCTGTTCTTCTCCCGGAAGGACAGGGCGCGCTCGAGGCTCTGCTTGTTGGAGGAGAGGTGGCGCTCGTTGAAGCTCGAGCTGAGGAACGAGCGGCTGAAGTGCGACTCCTCGGCGGCCTGCTCGAGCACCTTGCTCACCACCTCCTTGTTCTGCTTGAGTTTCCACTTGAGCTCTTCGTTGTGCTGGCACAGTCTTTTGTTTTGGTTGATTTCTTCTTTGAAGTTTTCGTAGAGTTTTTTGTTTTCGGCGATTAGACTCCTGTAATAAGGCTCTAGTTAGTTAAAGTAAGGACATTGTTTAAGTATATTATAGTTGGACAACCTATACGGACAATCACTTTCCCATGTAGAAAAGAATGAATATATATTTTACATCTCACTCGCTTCACTATCGAGTAATCGAAACATAAAAAAATTAAAAAAATTAAAATTGGAAAATCTAAAATTTAAAAATCGAAACATCGAAAAATTGTACAATCGAAAATTGAAAAATTGAAATATAGAGAACTGAAAACTCAAAAAATCGAAAAAAATTAATAATTTCAAAAACTGAAAAGTTAAAATTGAGAAATTGCAAAACTGAAAAATCACAAAATTGAACGAAATATCAAAAAATTAGGAAATTAAAAAATTGAGAAACAAAAAAGTCAAAAAAGCAGAGTCTAAAAATCGCAAACTTAAAAAATCGAAAAATTGAAAAATCAAAAACCTGAATAATCGAAAAATTGAAGAGCTGAAAAATCGAAACTTTAGGAAGTGGAGAAATGGGAATATAAAAAAATAGATTAATTGAGAAATCTGAAAACTAAAAATTCAGAAACGTTAAAATTTGAAAAATAAAAAAATATTGAAGAACTAAAAAATCGAAAAATCTAAAATTTAAAACATTGAAAAGTTAAAATATCCTAAAACTGAAAAATGGATAAATCCAAACATCAAAAAATCAAAAAGAAAATAAAAATAAAAATCTAAAATTTAATAATCGAAAAACTGAAAAATCAACGAATCGAGAAGTCGAGAATTTAAAAAATTGGACAATTGAAAAATCGGATAAATCAAAAATCGAAATATCGAAAAATCGAGAAACCGAAAAGCAAAAAATCGAAAAACCAACAAATCGAAAAATCGAAACATTGTAAAATTCAAAAATTGAGACATCGAGAAATCGAAAAATCAAAAGACAAAAAAAATCGAGGAGTCGAAAAATCGAAAAGTCGAAAAATCAAAAAATTGAGAAACCGAAGTAGGCCAAAATCGAAAAATTGAAAACTTAAATATGGAAAAATTGATAAAGCGAGAGATTGAATAATCAAAACATCGAAACATCCGAATCTCAATGAATTGAGATCTCAAAAAATTTAAACATTCGTAAATTAAAAAAATTAAAATATAGAACTGGAAACTCGAGAAACTGAAAAATCTAGAAATTTAAAAATTAAAATATGAAAAAGTTGAAAAATTGAGAAATTGAAATAAAAAACAAAAAACTGAAAATCCAAAAATTAAAAATAGAAAAATCTAGAAGTCGAAAAATGAAAGAATCGAAGTATTGAAAAATATCAAAACAGAAAGAAATATCAAAAAATTGAGAAATCGACAAACCAATAAAGCGAAGTCGAAAAATCGAAGAATTGAAGAACTGAAAAATCGAAACTTTGAGAAGTGGGAAAATCAAAAATAGAATAATTGAGAAATCAGAAAACTGAAAATTTAACGCAAAAATTTGAAAAATTCAAAAATTTAAATACTGAAGAACTGAAAAATCAAAAAATCGAGAAATCGAAAAAAGTAAAATTTAAAACAATGAATGATTAAAATATCGCAAAATTGAAGAATCGAGAGATCCAATTCAATTTGAAAAATTGAAAAATCGGGTCATTGAAAAATTGGAAAATCCAGAAATGGAAAAGCTCAAATGAAAAAAATCGAAAAACCGAGAAATCCAAAAATCGAAACATCGAAAAATTCAAAAACTGAGACTTCGAGAAATCGAAAAATCGGAGGATCGAGAAATTGAGGAGTCGGAAGCCGAAAAGGAAAGTTAAAAATTGAAAAATTGAGAAATTGAACAATCAAAACAACGAAACATCTGAATTCGATAAATTGAGAAATTAAAAAATTGAATAATCGAAAAATTTTAAAAAAGAAAAACTGGAAAATCAAAAATTAAAATTCAAAAAATCGAAAAATTGAAAAATTGAAATACATATAGAAGAACTGAAAACTCGAGATATCGAAAAACCTAGAATTTTAAAAAATGAAAACATCGAAAAGTTTAAAAATTGAGAAATCGAAGCATTAAACAGTCCCAGAATTGAAAAATCTAAAGTTTACAATAAACTGAAAATTCAAAAAGGAAAAAAGCGAGAAATCAAAAAAAATCCATCAATTCAAATATCGAAAAGTCGAAAAATTGAAATATTGAAAAATCTCATAACTGAAAGAAATATTCAAAAAATTGAGAAATTAAAAAATTGGAAAATTGAGAAATCGAAAATCTAAAAAAGCAAAATTGAAAAATCGTAATCTTAAAAAATCGAAAAATTGAGGAATTGAAGATGTGAAAAATCGAAACTTTAGGAAATCCAGAAATGGACAAATAAAAAAAAATACTTTAGAAATCGGCAAACTGAAAATTTAGAAACGTGAAAATTTGAAAAACTGAAAAATCGAAATATTTAAAAACCGTAAAATTGAAGAGGACAAAAATTGAGAAATCGTATCATTGAAACATCGTAAGATTGAGAAATCGAAAAATAAAAAAATCGAGAAATAGAAAATTTAAGGAATGGAGGAATCGGAAAAGCCCAAAATTGAAATATTGAAAAATTGAGACATTTAAAGTTGAAAAATCCAGAAATCGACAAGCCGAAAAATCCCAATAGCGTATTTAGGTATAAATCACAAGATCAGGACTATTCTACTTTTTAAAATTTAAATACATAACATTATAAATTGGAAAATGTTGATTTTTTTTTCCAAAAATCTTGACGTCTAAGGTGAAAACTCGACACGGATGCATAAACCCTAAACTGGGCGAAACTACAATTTTACTATTGTAAAATTTGGAGATTGCGTCATTTCATTGTTCGTGACAAATTTTGGAGAGTGTAATTTGATAATACAATTTGAAATGTAAATTTTGTCATTCGGGAACATTATGTATTAAATCGTTAAGATGTTCAAGAACTTTGTTCACTTATTCGTTGTAAAGTCCAATAGTCGAAACGGGTTAGTTGTTCGTAGTGGATGTGTATCACATCAACTCTAACGAATATCGGTTTATATGTAGATAAATCGCTTAAAGCCGATATTGGCCTGAGTGTGCTTTGGTCTGTAGATCAAACAAGTTCTCAGGCGACGAAAAATTGCATATGGAGGGAGACTTCGGATTACAAATCGTGCCAAGAAAGACATATTTGGGAGAGATGGATTTTCAGGTGCTTGACTAGCGGTAATTTTAAATTGTTTGCTGTCGTTCGCGAAGTGAAGAACACAATTTCATTAAAATGATAATTATAAAATTATCATAATCACTATTGGTATTAATTAACACAAAATGGCGCGCAAGTTATCAGTTGATTTCGTTAATAAATTCATAGAAACCTATATGGGATTTTTTCATGCCTTAGAAAATTAAAAAGTAAAAAATACAATAACAAAAATTTTAAAATGCGGTTTACGAAAAATTAGTTGACCTGTGCAAAGATGAAAATTTTGGAAACACTGACAAATATGACATCTTAAAAAAAATAACACTTGAAGAAGTGCTTTCGGCGTAATATTTTTGATGCTCGCGTGAACAAAATACTCTATGTCAGTGTGCAGTGCGCAAAGAGTTAACTGTGCAGATCTAGCCGAAAATCCGAAAACCAAATCGCTGTGTGTAGGGCCAGCATAACGGAAGTAATAAATCATCCCATGGGTTGAAGAACGTTGGGTCAGTGCGATGATGTCGGTGTTATATCCCGAGAGGGGCCCAATACACCCAATAAAATGGAACAGACAAAATAAAGCTTCAAACATGATTATTTTTATACTAAAATTCTGAACTTTATAAACTGCACATTTTATTTATTTATTTATTTTATCTTGTTTTCGAACTATAATTAACATTTCAAACAATGTCTGTAACTTATTTTAATGTAATATTAGTGTGATTTTGACCTTATTCTAGATTTTATTACAGCAGAACGGCGTATCCTTTTTAAATTTTAGAAGTTACGGAAACTAGTTCAAGAAACAATTAGTTATCTCGTATTTTTGGAACAAAATCTACGAAAATGTCCGATAACAGCAATTGTTTTTCATAGAAACAAACAGTCTTCAAAGTAGCCTTTAACAAGTCGATATTACAAACATGCCTCTTAAGTTGTTTATGCGTTTTTTTATCTCTTGTAATTATTTGTAATGTTAACGCCGAAAGTTTATGTCATTCTGTTATTTACTTTGAACATATATTTTCATTTTGTGTTAATATTTTTGTAACACCACGAATCTAAATTTTACTTAAAATCTTGTTTTACCTTAATCTTGTAAAACTAAACAATTATACCAGTTTAAAAACCCTTGGAAAGTTTCTGTCAGTTTTCAGATATAGTCAAATAAAAATATGCATCAAATTCATTTAAATTCAATTCTTTCTTATCACGTTACAACGCGTTGCTTCATATTTTTTACGTCAAGTATATTTTCATATTTTGTACATATATGTTTCTACACATTACTGTTTACGGAACAATGTTAATTATGAATTTATGGATAACTCCTCGTATAAGAGCAGAGTGAAGGGTGTTTGCCTTTGCTAATGTTTGATGGCGCCATCTGATTTAGAGTAAAATAAACCTAATACGTTGGCTCACTGTAGTGAAAATGCGCGTTGACGAAAAATTTGTCCCACGCCCCCTGGATTCCTTGTCCTAAAGCTCACTATTTAGGAGACGTAAAATTTGTATTAGGTTGTCCAACTATCATATACTTAAACAATGGTAAGGACTAAGGGGTTGTACGTACTGTTCAAGTTCTGATTTTCTTTGTAGTTGGAGCTGGAGGTCCTCGCACCTGGCGCTCATCGAAGCGGATTTTTCTTCGGCGGCTGCTAGGGTTTCGTTCTTCTGGTTGGCTTCGGCGAGGGCTCGCCGCAGTTCTCCGACTTCGTTTTGCTTTAGTTCGAGGACGACCCGGAGCGATTGTAACTCCTGCGTTATAAACGACACAAAAATACAAAATTTCCTAGATTGAGTAGAATTTTTACCTGAATACTAATTCCCTTATCTTTGATGTTGCTGTAACTCAGCAGCCTGTCGTTGTCGTCCCTCAGCCTAGCAATTTCTTCTTGCGCTGCATCTAACTTCTCCTGGAATTTCTCTTCAAGTTTGCTCAGTTCGTGCTTCAGCTTCTGGTTCTCGCACCTCGCGCTTTGCAATTGCTCCTTGAGTTTCATCTCTTTGGCTTCATAGTCGTCTTTAAGTTTGCGACTTTCGTGCTTCGCATCTTCAATTTGAGCACTCTTTTCATCTATTTGCTCTCTAATGGCATCGTTCTCTTCTCTTAAAATATCCAAAGACTCTTCGTGCGTCTTTTGTAACTTTTGAAATTCGACTTTCAAAGTTAATAGTTTCTCTTCGTTCTGTTTGGCCAACATTTGCTTATTGGCCTCATTTTCTTCGTGAAGACGTAACTCCACTTCATACTGTTTGCTATTAACTAAACCCAGACAATTAGACTACGAATAACCAGCACTACGACTTACGTTCTACTATTTGATTCCTATGCTGCTCCACCAATTCGCTTATCTCACTCGCACACCTCACGCGCTCCTCTTCTATAAGCTTTCTTCCATTCGTACGCTCTTCTGCTAAAGTGTCTTCTAAATGTTGGCACGTTGCCCTAAATTCATCTGTCTCATTCCGGAGTTTCTGAACTTGTTTTTTAAGAACTGGAACCTGATAGGCTTCCACCTGTTTGGGACTTTTTAGTGGTGTGAGTCAGTCTCAAAGCACGACTTACATTGAACACAAGATGCTGGACGAGTACTGCGAGAGCTTCTGCTACTTTAGGGACTGGTTTGGCGGGGGCCCGGGGGTGAACGGGGGGCCGGACTACGGGCGACGTGCGGCCCCCCTTCACGGTAGCTCTTCCACACTCTGAAACAACAAAAATCACTCAACAACAGAAACAAATTATTGTAACAATTTAATTTAGTGATTTTTCGGGTTGATTCCAGAACGACCTCGAAAGCGGCGATCGCGAACTCTCCAGAAGAAACGTATGGGGAAAAATTATGTTGTTTTTGGAATTTTGATGACGCTATTCAGAAAAATAAAGCTAGTAAAAAAATTGTGGAAGGTTGTTTTGACAGAACTTCCCTCGTTTTTGAAGCATGGTCCGATAAATTCCGCTTATATAAGAAAATTATTAAATTAGATTCTGTGATTTTCGTTTTGTGATAACTGTTAATCTCGATAAAGTGGCGTAATTAACATCCCCGCCGCTTCTAGATATTTAAATATTACATATATTTAAAACAGGTAACTAACGGGAAAAAATGTAGACAATTTCAATTTCTCAGTATATGCTTAACTTCGACTGTTTATGTTTATACTTCGACCGAATTCGAAGTACCTTAAAATAGATGAAAAAACAACTAAAAAAAGCGCTTAAATAGATAAAAATAAATGTGGGTGAAACGTATCATTTTACTTTCTACTGATTTAAGTTGATTACTACCAAAATTTACCATTTTAGACATGTTTCAAGTTTCTTGTTGTCGAAATAAGTCTGCACATACTAAGAAACCAAAGGAAAAAGTAGCCCCGCCCACCCACCCTGTCTCAATTGTGATGATTTTTTTTATTCGTCGTGAGCCAAGGAGGCGGAGCTTAACTGCAAATTTCTTATTTCTCTACGAGAAATTAAAAACATGTTTTTGAGTATCGTGTTGTTCAATGAATATTACGTATATTAATAAAAAATTAAAGCCAAAGATTAAGCCCCACCCGTACCTGTCCTGATCTAAATATGTAGTAATGAAGTTTTGATTCGTTGCCAGACCTAGGGGCGGGGCCTAATTGCAAATCTATATTTCCCAATAAAAATTTACCATTTTAAACCTGTTTTGAGTTTCTAAGAATTAAATCATAACAATTGAGATAGGGTGGGTGGGTGGGGTTTATATTTTGTTTTTTTTTTCTTAATATACATAAAAATCGAAAAACCGAAAAATAGAAAAATCAAAAATTTTAGAAATCGAAAAATCGGAAGATCGAGTAGTCGAAACATCAAACAATGAAAAATCTAAAATTTAGAAAATCGACAAGTCGAAAAACTAAAAAATTGAAAAATTCGGGAATCAAATCTCGAAAAGTCGAAAAATCTAGTGATCGAAAAGTCGAAAAATGAAAAATCTCACAACTAAAATATCGGGAAATTGGGGAATCGAAAAATTGAAAAATTGAAAAATCGGAAAATTGGAAAAACAAAAAATCGGAAAGCTGAAAAGTCGAAAATTCGGGACACCGAAAAATCGAAACATCTTAAAACATGACAAGATCGAGAAACTGAAAAGTCGGGGAGTCTAAAAATTGAAAAACAGAAAACTCGAAATAGCCCAAATTCCATAAATCTAAACGTGGAAAAACTGAAAAATGGAAAAATCTAAAATTTAAAAATCGAAAAATCAAAAAATCGAAATCGAAACATCGAGAAATTGAAAAACTGAAAAATCGAAAACTGGAAAAATTAAAAAATAGAGAAATCGAAAATTTGTATAAGGAAATATTGACTCTGCAAATCCATATTGTTGTGAAAAGATGGCTACAAGTATTTAAAAAAAAAGGCAAAATATAAGCCCCGCCCACCCACCCTGTCTCAATTCTGATCATTTTTTTAATCGTCTTTAGCCAAGGAGGCGGAGCTTAACTGCAAATTTCTTATTTCTCTACGAGAAGTTAAAAACATGTTTTTGAGTATCGTGTTGTTCAAAGAATATTACGTATATTAAGAAAAAAATAAAGCCAAAGATTAAGCCCCACCCATCCTGCCCTGCTCTAAATATGTAGTAATGAAGTTTTGATTCGTTGCCAGACCTAGGGGCGGGGTCTATTTGCAAAATCTATATTTCCCTACAAAAATTTACCATTTTAAACGTGTTCTAAGTTTCCAAGGACAAAAAAAATCATTACAATTGAGATAGGGTGGGTGGGCGGGGTTTATATTTTGTTCTTTTTTCTTCATATACGTTGCATTCTTTGGACAACACGATACTCAAGAATTTGTTTTAAATTTGTTGTAAAGAAAAAAGTATTTTGCAGTTAAGCTCCGCCCCCTTGGTTCACAGCGAATAAAAAAATCATTACAATTGAGATCGGGCGGGTGGGCGGGCTTACATTTTGTCTTTTTGTTTTAATACTCATGTGTAGATTTTTCTTCACAACATGAAACTTCAAAAATGTTAAAATGGAAAATTTGTATAAGGAAATATCAATTTTGCATCCGCCCTATAATTGTAAGATCCCTTATTTCCTTGTAAAAATGTACCATTTTGACTATATTTTCAATTTCTTGTTGCGAAAAGGTGGCTATGTAGATTAAGAAAAAAAAAAAAGGCAAAATATAAGCCCCGCCCACCCGCCCTATCGCAATTCTGATAATTTTTTTATTCATTGTCAGACCGAGGGGCGGAGCGTAACTGCAAAATCGATATTACCCTATACAAATTTATCATTTTAAGCACGTTTTAAGTTTCTTGTTGTGAAAAGAGAACACATATTAAGAAAAAAGGCAAAAATTGAGTTTTTTCTTGGCCTGTTTACTTTAAACATGAATAGATGAAAAAAACAGCTAAAAAAATCTTAAATAGATGAAAAAAAAAGCCAAGTTGGCGTTGATAGTAATTTTGATGTTCAACTTTTGCCGTATTTAAAAGAGTTGTAGAAGAAAATTGAAGGATTTAAGTTGATTACTACAAAAGTTTACCATTTCAGACTCATTTTAAGTTTTTTTTTGTCGAAATAAGTCTGCACATATTAAGAAAAAAAGGCAAAATATAGTCCCACTCACCCACCCTATCTCGATTGTGATGACTTTTTGTTTGTCGTGAGCCAAGAGGGCGGAGCTTAACTGCAAAATCCTTATTAAAATTAAGCCCCACCCATACCTGCCCTAATCTAAACATGTAATAATGAAGTTTTGATTCGTTGCCAGACCTAGGGGCGGAGCCTAATCGCAAAATCTATACTTCCCAACAAAAATTTACCATTATAAACCTGTTTTAAGTGTCTAAGAATAAAAAAAAAACATTACAATTGCGACAGGGTGGGTGGGCGGGGTTTATATTTTGCCCTTTTTTCTTAATATACGTAAAATTCTTTAGATAACACGGTACTCAAAAACATGTTTTTAATTTGTTGTAACGAAAAAAGTATTTTGCAGTATTTTAAAGCCAAAGATTAATTTTTTACCATTTTAAGCATGTTTTAAGTTTCTAAGAATAAAAAAAAAACATTACAATTGAGATAGTGTGGGTGGGCGGGGTTTATATTTCATCTTTTTTTTCTTAATACACATAGTATTCTTTGGACAACACGACACTCATAAACATGTTTTTAATTTCTTGTAAAAAAAGTAAGTATTTTTCAGTTAAGCTCCACCCCCTTGGTTCACGGCGAATAAAAAAATCATCACACTAGAGATAGGGCGGGTGGGCGGGCTTACATTTTGCCTTTTTTTTTTAATATGTGTAGACTTTTTTTCACAACATTAAAACATGTTTAAAATGGAAAATTTGTATAAGGAAATATCAATTTTGCGTCCGCCCTATAATTGTAATATCCATATTTCCTTTCAAAAATGTACCATTTTAACTAAATTTTAAGTTTCTTGTAATGAAAAAACGACCACGTATATTGAGAAAACAGGCAAAATATAAGCCCCGCCCACCTGCCCTATCTCAATTCTGAAGATTTTTTTTTTATTTGTCGTAAGCCAAGGGGCGGAGCTTAATTCTAAAATCCTTATTTTTCTAAAAGCGATAAAAAATTGCAACGTCAAAATTGGCCAGTTTGCTTAAAACATGAAAAACAGGAAAAAAAAGGATAAAAATTCAACAGGGATTCATAACCCACATGTGTAGGAGTATCTAATTTGATAAAATTAAAGTAATATTTACTACTGTAAATTTTGGCAAGGATGATTAGCCAAATTAATAATAAATACACATAAAATTTAACAACTGGTAAGTCGAGCTGGAATTATTCGCTGTGACATTTTCGCTATGTGTGCCATCGTATAATATTTAACACTATTTCGTTCTCTAACTGGAATTGATGTGCTTATCGTCGTGTTTACGTTATCTTAATTGGAAAATATCTCCGATCCCAAAATAAAGTAAATTTGTATATGTGCCCCTCGAGACGGCCCAGAATAATCGAATTTACTCGTTCGTAAACAAAGTAAATTGAGCGTGTCGAAAATATCGAAAGTAATGAACTCCACATTTCTAGCACGGGTCCGTTCTCGAAATTTACGAACTCACGGTTGGCACTTCCTCTCCGATAATTCATTTCCGGTCGAGTGGTCGCTTTTTCGTTTGAATGAGATCGTTTGATTCTTTTTGGCCGTAAATTAATAAGTCCAATCATTATCTCGATTGGAAGAAAGTCGACGCCACGATTACTATAGGTGTATTATTTGGAGTTAATTTGGCTTCAGTTTCCATTAATGTGCTCGGCTGAACACAGTACTTATCTTTGTGGAAGCGTTTTAAATACGTAACGTAAATCATGTTCCAACAATTTCGTGATGCACAAGTTTATCTAGCACAGATAAGAATGGGAAAGACGATGGTTAAGCAGCAGCTCGCATGTCCGCTAATTTAACAAAAATAAATGTTATCACTACAATCATCTCGAGAGATTAACAAGAACAGAAAGTACGACGACGTGGTTCGAAATCCCATTCTCCCACTGGAATTTACTGGTCGTAATCCAGCCAAAACAAACATGTCTTCGTCAGTTCGTAAAAGCGACAGTTATTTGCTTTGGATTTTCGCGTTTTTCACCAGCGGATTGAAACAAAGTAGCGTTTTCCTGTGCAAGGCGGGATATCCGCTCGTAATTATGTTATTTTGAAACGCCATCCGGCTTTG